TATATATATATATTGAGCTGGTGATTATTGTATAGTTTCGACTTGCTGGAAAGAGCGAATAAAAGTGGGATTGTATTGATAGTGTTAATGAAAGTAAGCAAGCAGTAGCTGGCCAGCAGAAAAGAATGAATAGCAGGTGTAGAAAGTACCAACGGTGAGCCAGGTGAGAGTAGAAACTCAAGAGGATCGACGAACACACCCACCTTATAGACTTCGTGGAAAAACACATCGGTTCATCCTAAACCCGCCAAGTTTTGAAAGAGGAGTAACAATCGTCAGTTCCTAGTAGTTCAGAGAGCGACCCTGTTGTATGAAAACCCGGCAATCATTAAAAAGGGTGAAGCCCAGGTTGAGAAACGTCCTATGACAGCAAAACGCTCAATTGACACATTGTGGCGTTGACTGGAACCCGCTCCATGGGTGGAGAATGATGCGACTGTAAGCGATGGCCCTGGATCGAACCAAACACAGCGGGGAGTGATACAACCATCCCATAATTCTTAGAGGCTGTGTCGACTCCTTAATCTCTAAAGCTTCAACATTTAAGCTTCATTTTGGCTCGTGGAACGTGTTCGAGGGACAGCCCCTTCGAGGGTCTTGTCTGTGGATCGCAGGTAAGGCCCCGCAAATTCGTTGGAACTGGAATTGGGACGAATCAGAGGTGTAGAATCAATTCTGGATCTTGGTGAGGGGCCATTTTGTCTGTTTCGGTGATCCAAGTGATCAAACTCGTATGGCCTCAGGTCTGAAACTCGACTTGAGAACAGACGACATGGTCGAGAACTCCGAGGAGATTGAGGAGTACAACACAAAGCGGATTAACGCTGAATATATCTCCTAGTACTTGGGCTTTTCGGGCTCACGAAGCTGAGATATCCACACTTCAGAGCTCTGTGATGGAGGGGTGCGACTATTCGCTATGCTCACCTTGTGCACGTTCGTGATGCTGGAAATCGAAACTTCACTAGAAACTCCAGGTTTTCCCCCAAAACACTCGCGTGGCTCATAGTAGATGGTTCTGCAGTGAAGATATCATAGAGTCAACGAACACTCAATCCGTTGTTCCTTGAAAGAGGTGAGGTGGAAGGAAAACAATCTGATAGCGCGGCAGGTGTTAGAGTTAGGTGCTTATATAAGCATGCCGACCATAAATTTCTTCGCTTCGTCTGCACTATCTTTCACTGTCCCTCCACCCTCCGTATATACTATTATATTTTTATGCTAGCGTCAAGCTATAACTTCATCATATGCTGTGACTTTCTTAGTCCAACACCACGTGAGGGAGTTGTTATTGAGGTAGACACGTGACTATGCCCCATCAGTGCAGTGCGTCTTAGCCGGCAACCCCTTATCTAAGCGTCAAGAAGAAACTCCGAATGGACGCATTGGACGGCCAGTGAAGCCATCGGTGGCCGCACAAAGGTGCATATCTCATATCGGATTAAGTTGTTATGCATGGTATCTTGCAACCTTCCTAATTCGAACGGCCGTCGCGTCACTTACTCCCACCTTGATAGTATGTAAATCAGCTACCCCTCACAAACACTGTCATGATCGCATGAGCCGCTCGCTGCCGAAAGATTGTGCAAAGATGATAAGTATTATGCGGGACGAAGCTAATGATTGGCGGGGTGGGACGGCGATTGATCGTGTTTATCTGTACTGATGCGGGGACGGATCTGCATTCAACGACGAGATAACTTCCTCGTTCAAAGAATGAGCGATAGCAACCTATTCTCATTACTAAACTGGTTTATTTTTATATCCAGATGTACTCGAGTAGAATTATATATTTTCTGTTATCCCATTTTTCAATGTTTAAGAGCGCGGTCGATTTTAATCTCTCCGCCTAGTACCGGTCTATACCAGCATTTTCCGTGCGAAGTCCACACAAAATCGCTGCGATGGACACGGAAAAGATCCACGATGCCTCTTCTGAGGATCCCGAGAAGATGACAGAACTTACCCCAAAAGCCACAGTGGGTGACGGGGAAATCATCAATGAGATGTTCAAGCATGCCAATCCCAATGACGGGGACGAAGCTCTGAAAGCCTTCCAAGGACACGATGGCGAGACCATCGTCATGACGCCCGAGATGGAGAAGAAGCTAGTAAGGAAAATCGATTTAAATCTCATGCCGGTATGCTACGCAACGTGCATTTGTGCAAATAAGCGCTCATCCTTACCTCGCAGATTCTGTGTGTCGTTTACGGTCTGAATTACCTCGATAAAACCACCCTGTCCTACGCGAGTATAATGGGTCTGAAGAAGTCAATTCATTTGAAGGGTGATGACTACCAATGGCTTGGTAGTATGTTTTATTTCGGATACCTCTTTTGGGAATACCCCACGAATCGACTCCTCCAACGACTCCCACTTGCAAAATGGTCAGGCTTCAATGTGATTATGTGGGGCTTAACGTTATGCTGCATGGCTGCTGTTAAGGACTTTGCAGGTGCCGCGACAGTGCGCTTCTTCCTTGGGGTTTTCGAGTCTGCCGTCACCCCCGGATTTGCTCTTTTCACCTCGCAGTGGTATACAAAGGAGGAACAAGGGACGAGGACTGGAATTTGGTTCAGTTTCAACGGATTCGCACAAATTTTTGGAGGGTTCGTTGCGTACGGGATATCGGTTGGCGTAAAGAAACACGGTGCCGCGATCGAGTCGTGGAAAATCGTTTTCCTGACTGTTGGACTGGTGACTGCTGCTGTGGGGGTCATCTTCCTCTGGTTGATGCCTGATAATCAACTCAATGCCTGGTTTTTAACCCCAGAGGAGAGACTCATGGCAGTTGAGAGGATTAGGCGGAACCAGCAGGGTGTTGGAAACAAGCACTTCAAAATGTACCAATTGAAGGAGGCATTGCTAGACCCAATGACATGGGCGTTCGTCCTCTTCGCGTTGATATCAGATATACCTAATGGTAAGTAGACACCAGCTCATCTCAACGGTAAAGCGAGCTAACATTTCCAAGGTGGGATATCCAATTTCTTCTCCCAGCTTATCGTCTCATTCGGATACACGGCCGATCAGTCTCTTTTATACGGCACCCCAGGTGGGGCTGTGGAAGTCGTAACGCTGATTGTTGCCGGATATATTGGAGACAGATTCAAGTGTCGACTCATCATGGGATCAGTCGGGATGCTTATTGCTACCCTCGGGATGCTACTCATCGTCTGTCTCCCGCTATCCAACAACGTCGGCCGCCTCATCGGATACTACTTAACCGAGGCATCTCCGACCGGGTTCGTTGCTCTCCTCTCCCTACTCTCTAGCAATGTAGCTGGATATACAAAGAAGACAACTGTCGCTGCCCTATACCTCATATCATATTGTGTTGGGAACATCATTGGACCTCAGGTATTCAGGCCAAAGGACGCGCCACGTTACCTCCCTGCCGAGATCACTATTATTGTCTGCTACTGCGTGTGTGCCATAGAGCTCATTCTCATCCTCCTGTATTACAAGCGTTTAAATAAGAAGAATGCTGCATTTAGAGCGGCACCGGGATACAAGAAGTTAGATAAGCAAGAATTCTTAGACTTGACGGACAAGGAGAATAAGGAGTTTGTATATACTCTATAATTACGATCTATAATTGAGTAATATGATATTTCTAAGAAAATCAAGCACGTGCGTACTCATCTGAAATTAGAGAAGTGGTTGGGCTGGTGGTTCCGCACTTCAAAGGCCAATACCTAGCCGGGCCAGTCCAGATTAGCCAGGTACGACCTTATTTGTCTGCGGCTTGACAATCAAGCCGAAGGGATGTAGTGAATGATGGTGTCGGTAATAGTGGTAAGATTTGAACAGTTACATTAGATCCTTCTACGGTATACTGTGAAGGTCGTTGTCGTGCACCAAACTAAAGTTCTCTACGGGGCCGTTGAGGCTGAACCGCCATTCCGGATCCTGATACTTCGGAACTAAAGCTAGAAAGGCACGCCGAGCATATTTCAACGACAGTCTTTTGAGGCATGAGTTTAGATTAAAAAATTTTCTTCATCACGGACATATACTGAACCTCGGTCATCTACTAGAGACGGGAAGAAAGATGGGGTAATATATGCGGCAAGTAATGCAGCACCATTCAAGGCAGTCGAGAATTAGAGTCGGCGTAACATTGCATGTCCGACTCGTAGAGAACTATCGATTCAAGTCGAAGACCTTAGAAGTATATCTGAAAGATCACCTCTAACTCAGAACTTTGTTACATTTGCCGACTGCACCTGAACCTGCCGATGTGAAGGTTCATGAACCAGAGGTGGCTTATTATATACAGCTGAAAAGGCAAGAGATGTGAAGAAAAGGGGAATTTCATGCAATACCCCTGCTGCGGGCAGGCCTGTGCGTTTCATAGGGGGGCACACAAACCTACAGTAGCACACGATCATGCGATCCACACGATTTTCTTGGGAACTCTCAAAGTCATTTCTATCCATTTAACAGTGTACTTTACCACCTCTTTATACACGGATTATACCGGCTCTAGAATGGCCCATATTCGTAAACAGTACTCATTTCTAGACCTTGATAATTATTGGCCGCTCGAATGCGCGCAGAAGCGCCTGGAATCCTCAGCCTCTACACCTCTGCGAGCGGCTAGTAGATGAACTGACTTCTGGGGTCCAGGTTCCCACCAGGGTTCAAGTATGCATTTCTATGCACTCTTTGCTACTTCAATTTTCATAGCCAATCGCAAAGCTGCAAAGTTGCCCAAAGAAGCCATCTTGCCTGGGTTTTTTCCAGCTGGCTGAAAGCAATATATACCCCTGATGGCCACGTGGCTTAGAGGCCACCATTAACTCCGATACCCCTGCTTCTACCAGGAAATGTTGTCCGTCTGATTGAGATGAAAGCACGAGCTAGATACTCGAGGAAAAAGAATGCATGAGGCCGAAGTGGTTCTTTGCATCCACTGTTCAAATTCTCCGTCTCTTCCTCCCATCTCAGATTCTCCACAGCACATCTTTTTGATAGCAGAGGACCAGCCAAACCAGCCCGTTTAGCCTCTTTTAACTAAATATGCACTTCTACAAATAGTCTTGGACTGCTGTTATCTCTGAGACATTAAGTCAATCATTTTGTTGGAAATCTTAAATTCACTCCAATAATGCTTCTCCCGAGAGTTATTGCTGCCGCTTTGACGGTGCGGCAACTGAGTACTATCCTTCCCTCCGACCTTTGTCAGCCTCAGTGTCGTAAGCACACATCTTTTTTCTTCATAGCGTTATGACGATGATTTCAAGGCTCTAGCTGACATTTGATAAGCCTCGTGTAAAGCAGATACTGGGAGCTTCAATGTAACAACCTTGTGTATAGCAGACTCGCCATTTATCACAAACTGCGGCTTATGTCAACAATGTATTATTACGTACTCCATAGACCACCAAGTTCCCGACTTAATGGCTCTAGAGGCCTCCATGGAGACGATCCTTAACCTCTGTGCCCACTCCAACGCGTCCAGCCAAGTATCAGCTTTGCAATCACAAGCGTCAAGACTCTCCATGCTAGGGGCTATGGTTACCCTCTCCGCTACTTGGAGTTCAACAACTGATCATATTCTTACAACGGTACCTAATTCTACAAGCACCAATCGGTTTGGCATATCTTCAGGTAAGAGTTGCTTGTGCATGGTTTAGAATTGGGTATGTGCTTATACTTTCTACTATAAGTGTACCAAGCTTCGCCGGCTCCTACCTCCAGTTCAGGTTCAACAACGTCTCTACCAGTGAACACTCCGACGTCAACTGTGCAACCTGGACCTGGCCCAGAACTTAGTCAATCATGGATCGCTGGACCGGTGGTAGGATCAATACTCGGCGTGGCAACAATCTTTATGGTGATATACTGCACCAAGCGCAAACAAAAGAGAGAGGAATGGGAGTTAGGTGGGGTTTTGCCAGCGAAACTACTTCCCAGGGATGAAGACGAAGAAACGATGGCTTTACCGGGGAAACCTCAGCTACATTCCGAGTGTATTCCGAGAAAAGAGATGGAGAACACCCAGGTTATACCACCTGTAGAGCTTCCAGCTTTGGAGCCCGTTGGTACGGAGCTTTTGACTCCCAGGAACGAAACAAACAAATCAGAGAAGGAACGGCCATTGCCAATATCGCCGCTACCCGCATTATTTGCCATGATAGAGATGAGAGATGAGAGAACGGGAGGGGATAACTCACCGAAACACGAGACGTTTTATCACCCTTGAAGTAATTCGCAGCAATCACGAACGATACGAAGACAGAGTTATGAAGGAAGTCCTGTCCTTGTTGCGAGTACGATAGGCCACCAATATTAGAGGCTTGATGCCTCATCTAAATACTCAACGAAGGAAAGATTATGGAATGTCAGTCGACACATGTGCACGTCCAATTGCCTGGTAGCACCCGACTTGTTATACTTTGAGAAACTTTGAATGGCTAATATGAGGGCTGATATTTTGTAAAGTTTAAAGTCGGATATTCTCTTGAGAGATGGAGAAGTTGGATGCAGCGGACAGGCTCTAAGTCTAAGACTCTACAGCTCGCAGGAATTCAGGATTCTTGCAAGCTGGGAATTATGAGATGGTGGTTGAATAATGAATTTGTAATGGCTTATGAGTAACGAGCTGTAGCTTGATGGGTGCTGATATAGGAGAGATGATTGGAGTCGGGAGAGAGAATATAATAGAAGACTGCCGGTAAACTACCACCTCAATCCATGACATAGACTTTACATGAGCCGTCGCGCGTGGAATATGAACATGAAACAAGGGCATTGGTATATATAATTTAGCTAGAAGAACCAGATCTAGTCGGACTTTCTATGCTCAAAGATCAGTAGATTTGATATTATTCATACCGTATAATATTCTGCTCATCATTTGACGGCTTTTGTGGAAGCCGGCCGTAAAACATTATAGGAGTAAGATATGAATAGGTTAGTAATCAAATTGCAATTTAATGAATATTTGTCGATTATTGACTTGAATTGTGTGTTGATCTATAACCTATGTGTGACGTCAGTTTCACTAGTCAGGGGGGATTGGTTTAGCGAATATCCCCCCTTCTATTCTTTCGCTTGATTCCTGGGTCAAGCTAAGAGAATAGTCATTTAGGACCATAGGAGATAGGGGGGATACTAAAACTGCTATCAAAACCAGTGCGGCTCCCGACTAGCCATAAGAATTATGAGGGCTTAAATAAAGAAACTTGTTCTACCCAGGTCGTCTTCCGTTGCCTTCTGTTAAATCTTGAAAATACGATATTCGTCCAGAGAGTACAGACTTAGTCTTGTAGATTCTACTTCGTACTGCTATAAACCTATTTATTATGTAAAAATAATACATCAAGTAATTATCTCAAATTGTCTCAAATTGCTAATAATACTACAGCTACTAGCGCGGGGCACAAACCAAGGGGCATGGCTTAGTTAGCAGCTGGGTCTTTCACCTGTTTCACTGGTTTCTGTTGCTGGTCTCATCCCTCCGTACAACATCACCACCACAAAATGAATTACCACGAAAATACTGCGAGTGACTATCCTGCACGTTACTGTATAATCTGCAATACTCTGAATCTGCCCGAAGAGCAGACGTGTATTCTATGCGATACAGACCTGTCTCGTCATAAAATTGTACGACAACGCCGTTGAGATGTGTGCGCAAATACAATATCCGACCGGATACCAACATCCGCTTCGGTGCTCGCCGTTGACCCTCTTGGCCCTCAAGAGTTTCCACGATTTCAAGAACTCCCAATCGAACTACGTTTTCAGATTTGGAATGCGGCACTGCCAGGACCACGTATCGTGCATCTTGAAACCGGTCATTGTGCTCCAACTCGACCGCAGATAATAGTAGAGGGCGATGCTAGCTTTTTTGACCGTCTTGTGAACACCTCGCCTTGCTTCGGATTCAGGTCTTCCTCGACTATGCCGGTTCTATTGGCTTGCCGCGAGTCGTATAGAATTGGGGCTTCTATCTATACCAAGGCCTTTGGTTCAGATGGTGCATTTCCAGAAACTTGGTTCGATTTTAAACAAGATACTTTATATTTAGACTGGGACTCACCAATCTTGGACGCTGGCAATGTTGAAGATGGCCAAGATGCCCCTATGCCAACTCACGCCCGACAGGTGCAGCATCTAGCAATTCTGAACGCTCCTGGCTTCTATCAAACAACCGAGTTCCTCCACAAGATCTTGTTCGTCTTTGGAAATGTCAAGACATTATCACTGATAATGAAACGTCATTGTTGCGAGCTTGATGATCTCGCCATGATGGATCCCTTTGATTTCGATGCCAAAGTAGACCTTCTAGAATACCCCGACGACGAGATCATAGAAGAAAAGTACAATGAAGATCGGAATCAATATCTCGGAGAAGCCCGCAATGCAATGGAACTCAATACACATGCACTCAACAGCTTATGGAGGCACTCTATGGATAGAGATGGCATCCCTGCCTACAACATGCCTGCAATCGCAATCAAAATCATGACGACGCGTAGGCTAAAAGAGGCTTTCGAGACTGCGGATTGTCAGTATCTGGAGAACAAAGGGCGTTTCCATGGGCCCAGAAGATCAAGGATGTCTCTAGTCTGCCAGATGCGGTACACAGGGGAACATCACCTACTCGTCACTTCCACTACGCCCATATCCCAAATCATACAAGCAATTTCCGCCATCAGATTCATGCCACCTGACCTTAAGCTCTTCTTGCAGTTTGACGGTGCGTGGTTGGACTCTGAAAGTCTTGTTGGAAACTTGGGTTTGGAGTCTCACGATCGGGTTGATATACATATAAAGGAAACCAGTCCCAGATCTGTAATTTAGAGGCGCGCTCTGTTTTGTTATCTTTTGGCCGGTTTTTTATCAGGTATTCAAAAGGGGCGTGTCGTGGCTCGAGACATTAGGATCCGTACTTTGAGACTTATTCCTTGGATAATGGATTATGAGTCCGTTGTATTTGGTTCGAGATAATCAGGCATGTAATATATGTGTTCAGCTGCAGGCAGTTCGTGCATTATTCATTACGGTTCATCTCTTTTAATTATATACTATTAGTCTCTATGTCAAATCTGACGGCACACCTCCCCTACAGGCGAACGCGCAGTAGAAAGTTCCGACTATCACATGAAATCAAGCCTAAAATACAAAGTCGAGAGGGATATCATTCCACAACCAGATATTTCCACCCTAATGATCATACATACAAACAAGCTCCGTAAGTCGTTATTCATGGCCACGAAATGGGAGCAAATGACGTCTGATATACTAGTACACATCCAACAGGAACGTCAGATAACAACGCTACGAAGTCTGGTTCGCTTTGCTGCAAATCTTTGTGAAAGCAGTAAGAAGACTCTGGTTAGAAACCTTGTTAGCTTGAAAGTGTCGCAATGGGAATTGAGGAGGGATAAGTTCATACAATAAACGCATGATCATCGAGAGATCCAAAGACTGGATCTCTCCCAAGTTTCATGGCTGTCGACCGGGGACTAGTAATACCAAAAGCTACTCTGGCCAAGAATCTCGCGTCATCCCTATCAGGTACCTTGTCCAGAACAGCTTTGAAAGCGGCATAGTTGAACATAAGAGGTGGAGCAACTTGCTGCTTCACCGCCAGATGGGTCATGCACCAAGTACAATGTCCGCATTCCTCCTTGTCGTCAGGTAAATCGTCCCCAAAATGTTGGGCAAGAACTCGGGTGAAACAGGCTTCGCCAGTGATGAGCTGTAGCATTTGGTCTGTTCGAACTAGGGCCTCCTGCTCACGCTTGACCATGATTTCGTGAATCGACTTTGTGATCATGTCAATCTCTGTAGGGCTTTTTGGTGGAGCCTTCACGATTTTGAAGACATTTATCACACCGGCAGGTTTGAGCTCAATAGCTCTACTCTCATTCAAATCATTCAGCTTCCGAACAATATCTGTCCGGGGAATCTGGTATCGAACAGCAGCAGCATCGACGTCGACATGCCATAACTTGGATGCCTTTTTTGCAAATGCATTGATTGCAATCGCCCCGGGAGATTTGTCGGATTCTATCTTTGACTTATACTGAGCGCCAGGGGTGAAGGTGTATTTAGTATACATCGGTGTTGTAGCTCGGATAAGGCCGTGGGTGAGCTCCAGCTGAGCGTATATATTGCTCAGAGTGGTGGCACGAATGTCATAATCCTTTCCCTGGGTGTACAACGAACGTTTAATCTCGCCGCCAATTGGAAGGCTCATGGTGGTGGAATCGAAGATATCCCCAATAACGCCACGAACAGACTCCTTTGATGGAAGATCACCTCTTGCAAAAATCTCACGGAGATGGAGGTCCTCCCCACAGACATAAAACATGCATTTGCTAGTCTTACCATCTCTTCCAGCTCTGCCAATCTCTTGACTATAGGACTCCAGACTGCTGGGAATGTTATAGTGCACAACGTTCCGGATGTTTGCCTTGTCGATGCCCATGCCGAAGGCGATAGTAGCAACAATAATCAAGTCGTTTCGTCTCATGAAATCTTCTTGAATCATGGTCTTAACAGAGGTATCCATACCGGCATGGAAAGACTTTGCTTTAAAGCCTTTGCGGGTCAGCTCTGCGGCTAACTCTTCGGTCTGCTTCTGGAGAGTCACGTAGACAATTGAGGGTCCGGGATTCTCTTCGAGGAATTTGCAAAGTCTAGGATACAATTCCTTCTTGGTAAGACCTGATTCTGCGAGAAGCTGGAGATTGGAGCGGTAGGTTGAAGTTCGAAAAAGTCCAACTTTCTCGTCAATATTAAAGGCTTTGCAGATGTCTTGAGCAACCCGCGGTGTAGCAGTCGCTGTAAGGCAAACGACCCGTTCGGCCTGGATCTCTTCAGCGAATCGAGAGACCTCTGCTATTTGTTAGTTCTGGGTCAAAAGAAGAAACTGCCACACATACTGAGATAATCTGGGCGGAAGGCATGTCCCCATTCGGATATACAATGCGCCTCATCCACGGCAAGTAGACGGACACCTCCTCTGACGTGTTTCATCTGTTCGACAAAGCCCTCATTGTTCAATCGCTCGGGGGCAACATAGAGCAGTTTCAGTTCACCATTGCGGAGCCTCTCAACTATCTCGAGATACTCCTCCCTCGATTTCGTAGAGTCCATAACAGCAGCTCCACGGATACCACGTCGGACGAGAGCGTCAACCTGATCCTTCATCAAAGCAATCAGTGGAGATACGACTAGGGTGACTCCACTCTCTCCACCCCCACGAATATTCGACAGCGTGTCAACATCCGAGAAGACCAATGCAGGAATTTGGTAACAGAGACTCTTGCCACCGCCAGTGGGGAAAACGACTGCCGCACTCTCACCGTCGAGCAGTGTAGATATGACCTGCTCTTGTTGTAAGCGGAATGCTTGCAATCCAAAGTTTTGGGTCAAGGCTGTGGTAGCCAAAGCTAGACGCTTAGTATCGATAGCTGTTCTCTTCGCAGGCAGAAGGTCGTCGAAGGGAGACTTCCGCTTATGACTAGCTTTCTGCTCCATGCTGCTTGCAAGGTCTAGAAGTTCAGCTTCGTCACCGGAGCTGAGACCGAACTCGTCGTCCTCGATGAGGGGTGCCATTTTGTGTGCTTTGCGTGCGGAATGATATTCGTGGAGGAGGTATGCTTGGGGCTTTTGGTGCTGTGGTTTTGAACGGAGGTTCAAGGTTGCTGAAGAAAAGAGTTAGCAGTAATATTATGAAGTAGCGTGAAATCGAGTGAGGCTCTAATAAAGGGAAGGGGGTGAGGGCAGCGGAGGAGGGGGATGAGGGGTAGGCGCACCCTGACTGAACTGCGCTTTTCTGATCAGGTTGGAGGAAGAAAAGTGAGGAATTGATCTGGTCTCGATAATCGCATTGCGGACAAGAAGAGCAGGACGAGAGAAGGCAAGGGCAAGAGATTGTGTTGATATCAACATTCAAGCGGCATCAGTATCACCGTCGATGTTGATTGCCTTCTTGGAAGAGTCGCGCCAAGCCACGAACACGCGGAGCGCGACGCTGCCATACAACTTAGCACGAGGTCACGAGACTCCATCGTGACTTGCTCTCCAACGCCCGGGTTTGTCTTTTCCTTCATTCTTCAGTCTTCAAATTGCAAGAGTTCTACCCTTGGGGCCCGACACACAAAAGAACTGCTCTTCGAAGTAGGTGAACTCTTACCTTTATCTCGTGAAACAATATTCATAAGGCTATAGCCTATAATTAGTCCTGATAGCATCCAGCGTGTAACTCGCAAAGCAAATATTCCCTCAAGAATTCCTCTCTAGATTCCGGTTGAACAGGCGCAGATTACCGTAATGGATCCAGGCAATTGGCGGGTAAAGCGCAAGTCGAAGGAAGGAGGCTCCGCAAGGGATGAAGTACCCCCGCTACGACCATGGGAAAGACCTTGGACCTTCTAGTAATTCGGACAGATCCACAACTTCAAGATAGCAGTTTTCTTCGCCCTGGGGAGCTACACCAACATTTGAGGGAGATTACCGAGACTATAAATACTGAGGAGGACGAAACTCCGTCAGAGGATCTCTGGGTGAGTATCAACATCACGGTACGGTACATCGTGTATGTCGAGACTAATTCATCTAATAGCGATTCTCCGTGTATATACTCAATCATAAGATATTCCCGATCATGACTCTCGTGTGGTATTCGGTAACTGCTGTAGATTTCTTGAATAGGCTCTTTTGTGCTTCGTAAAGTTGCTACTTTGAACCCCTGGACTTGCAACTGGCTGTAGAGGCGCCACTTGCAGCCCAACAAGCAGGAATAGTACCCGAGAACACCGCGAGGTTTGCACCAGGTTGGGAGCCCGGGTATTCAATTCGCCCGTATTGGAATGCGTCCAATCGATTTGAGTATTGCATAAGTGCGAGAAAGACTTCTTTAAAAACTTTAGTCGGAGCTAAAGAACAGTCGATATGGATAAGTCTTGCAAGTTCCCTCGGAATGAGGCCTACAAAGGCGTAAGTTCTATTTCGAGAGTCTATACACTTCTGGCCTGTATTACCTGCTAATAAATCGAGTGGTGTGTAATGTGGCTAGCATAAATTGTCCCTACCGCTCCGCAAGGCTCCAAGCGGGACTCCACCTAAGTTGATAAAGAGCTTATACTATATCTCGCTATAGCTGTAGCTACCTAGTTATCCTTATATGATATGTTGAATAGTGTATAAAAGGTTGGCGACAGCGAGGTAAGCGACGGTGAAGTTGGAAACAGCGCCCGCAGCGTACTTACTATGATTCTAAATTGAATCTGTAATTAGAATGCGAGAGGACGACTTAGATTTATGAGTTAGATTTAGCAAAAGTCAACTTGATTTTAAAAAACGTTAAAAAAACCCTTTATCGTCTATGAATTCATCCTCTTAGAAGGATGAAAATACGCGCGACGTTAAGGAAAAGACTGACCTTGTAGGAGGATGTTGTGGATATCGGGCGTCAATCAGCCTGGATATTTCCTGTAGGCTATAGGTATAAGGCCTTAGGCTTCCACGGCTAATCCTCCACGAGTAATATGTAGGTATAGCTGGCTCCTTGGATCTCCACATGGCGATATTCCGCATCTCCTTTCTTCTATACTCCCGAACCGCGGGGGCACTACAACAAAACAACTACCGCTACACTTGTCTTATCTTAGGGCCAATATAGTATCAGTTTAGCGGTCAGCAGATGTGGAATTATCCTCTTCGTGGTGGCCTGAGGAAAGAAAGAAGGTGAGGGGGTGGGCAGGGCGTCAAGGGCACGAGGTATAATTGAGACATAATGACATTCTATGGGGGCTGAGTAAGTAGAGAGCCATGAAATTGTATATCTGATACTTTCTCTCTTTGCTGTAACCAATTCCTCTCACCTTTTGGTGATCACTGCACGGACTGCCGAGTATTCACAGCGCTTCCTTGATAGCGAATAGGCATATCTATTTACGAGGACACCACTCAGTAAAGACAACGCGGTCCGCAGCATAAAGAAGCAGTGCAGTCCACAGGACAGGCTCTGAGGAGACCGCATTTCTGCTATCAACCAGTGGATTCGCATAAGCCAAGTTGGATCAACAGTCCACACAAAACCAAAACCAAGATCATCCTATAATCAAATCACGGCATTTCGTTCAACCTCACCGCTTCAGCCCCGCCATCACAATAAGCCAACATGTCGCCACCACCACTTCAAGAACCTCCTTCACGACACAACAGCGACATGGCTATGGCTGAGCAGAGCAGACAGAGTAGGATCTCAGAACACATGGCACGATCCTCAGGAGTTCCCCCCAGATTACGAAATGATGGTATTTCCAATCCCCAACAAATATATACGGTGTAAATGTACCCCGCTAACAGTATTGACATCAGAATCCTGGGTCGAGATAGCCTCACAACCCTCCTCCTCCTCCCTTTCCTCCATCGGCGATGAGATCGTTACCACTGGCCTCCGTGTAAACCCCAATACCCATACCCGAACCCACCGACGCAGACGTGTACAGCCCGGCATACCTTCTCGTATGGGTCTGGAAGCCCGGCAGACCAGCACAAGCAGTCAGGAGGAATACGAAGAGAGCGAGAGTGAAGAAGAAGAAGACCACGACCACGTTCTCACCAGCTCCAACGAGCATATCAACCCATCATACTCCTCCGACTCGGACGATGAAGACGACTCTACGGCCCTCGGCCGCCGAACTACAGAGCCAGCCTTCACGCCCCAACCAAACGCATTTTCCCATCCTCCTTCATCGCGACCCCAAGTCCCAGGCTCTTATTTCCCTCCCTCCTCCACTGCACCACGAAACATAAACCCATACGCTTCCAGCAGCAGACGCCAGCAATCCTACAACGCAACCGACCATGACGCCGCCCTTCGCGCATCCCTCACAACGCTGCTCTCAATCGGTGCCGCCGCTGCGAGGGGCAAGCGCGCTGCTACCAATCCCACACCAACAAGCGCAGAGCCAATGGGTTTACGCCTTGTTCCCGAGTCCCAGCTCACTGGCGCGGTACAACCCAACAGTTCCCGTCCGCTTTCTCCCTCTACGCGTGCTAGAAGCAGTCCATCGATATCGTCACAAGAGGCCATTGAAAAGGGCAAGAGAAAAGCTGCTGCGAGTGGGGAGAAGACCAAACGGCGGAAGAAAGTGGCTGTTGCTGAGGCGGGCGACGAAAGCACTCTTTTTACCTGGGTACTGAGTGCCGGCGTGCTTGTTCTGGTCTCAGTGGTGGGCTTTGGCGCCGGCTATGTTATTGGACGCGAGGTTGGGAGGCAGGAAGTTAGTGGCTTGGGCTTTTCTGATGGGGGGAGTTGTGGACGGGAGGCTATGCGTGGGAGTGGTAGCCTGAGGAGGTTTAAGTGGGGGATCGGTGGTGGTGGGAAGAGTGTAGTTGCTTGATTGATGAGATGAAAGATACCAGGAGATATGATTGAATGTGCAAGTTGATGATTTATGGGATAGGGTTTGGTTTGGGACGGAGTTTGGGTTACATACACACACATTGTCTGAGCGCTCATCTTTCATGATGTAGATTTGGATTTAGGATCGGGTGCACAGGACTAATCAGAAGAAAGTTAATAAACGAAAGCCGCCCAAAGCGTTACTTGTGAGATCTCTTGAATAGCACAGCTGTTAAAAAGCTTCTTGGGACTGGTCATAATGTTCAACCCCACTCGCCAACACCTGTACCATGGTCTCTCCACGTACAGCGTGTCGAAATATTGTTGTATACAGTAATATTCATTCATTGATTAATCAAAGCAAGAGGCGCTGACCCCGTCATTGACAGCTTCAGCGTAAACACTTCGTACGTTCGAGGACCAGAGTCATGCCTGGGTACTAATTTGGGAATGTTTTCCAAAGAACTCTCACGGTACACAAAACTGCGAGGAAAGAAATTCTCCAAGTCCCAATTTTCGTATTTCTGTCTTGGCACCTTGAAACTCAGTACCAGAGGCATGACTTTGGAAGACGCAATAAAGTTGAGGAGCGCTTCCAAGAGTTGCCCATCAATAGGATGATCAGAGCCGTTGTACAGGCTATTCGACGTCTCTCGGTGCGCTTGTAATGCCTTATCATAGCCAGAGTGACATAATGTGAGACTCTGGAGGACATGTGCAAGATCTTGAAGGATTCAGAGGATTCAGAGTCTATGCGATTATAAATTAGTACTATGCCAATCATGTATCTCGAATTCTAATATCAAGTCTCTAGTAGCTATGAAGCTCTAGTGACAAGTATACCATAGTATTTGCTTCTAAGGTGTCTTAAGCTTGAAACTTAAAACTAAAGCCGTTTTGCCCAGTTTAAATACATACTAAGATTATTAGTATATTATTATTACTACAAAAGAAACAACGTCATAAATATCCTCTTAGTATATAAAGGATTAGTGATATGTCATCCATCACTCCGTTACCTAAAACATTTCGCCACATGCACTAGCCATACAGGTTTTCGGGACGACACTTTACACACCCTTGCATTTTAATCTAATGCCTTGGTTCTTATACTCGTGACGCAATGAAATAGTATTACGTCGTAGATTTTATCGTAGAGATGATGTATATAACAGATGGTCTGAACTGGACCTAATTATATTTATATTTGTCAAATAATCACTTCAAGGAAGCATCTATACACCCAACAATCCTCAACCCAAAGCCTTAATATAAACATACATCATGGACGCCGCTTCATCCGCAGTCAACAGGCTTTTCGCCCCTAAAAGCCCAGCTCCCGAAAAGGAAACTATCAACGAGACTTCCAATTCTGATCGTGAGGCAACACCCGCTGTCTCCACCCCCGGCGAAGATGTAGACACAACTGTTTCTCAAAAGGTCGCCCCTGCTGTAGAGCACGAGCATATCAAAAAAGAACATGAAACCCGCGAGCAAACCTTCGTCGAGAAAGAAACACACAAAGACCACTACCACACCACCGTCCAGCCTCTCAAAGACTCCGAAGTACGCCCCGAGAAGCATGACCACGTTCAGGAGACAGAGCACCGCAGCTTCGACCACGATGATGATACGGCCAAGGTTAAAGCAGAGGCAGATCGAGCAGGCTTCGAAAGCACAAGCGAGAAGAAGCAGGTTGAATCCACGACAAAGGAGCCAACAGTAGGGGAGGAGCACGTACATCATCATCTGCATGAGACTGTGCAGCCCGTGATTGAGAAAGGCAAGTTTGATGATTGAAATAACATTGTCGAGGGGATTTGCTGACATGATACAAATAGAGGTCATTGTTCCATCTGTTACTCATAAGAAGGTTAATATCAAGGAGACTCACCAAGAACCATCGGAGCACCACGGTGTAACTACGAAGTCCGCCATCTCAGTTGATGACTTCAAGAATAAGTTGGAAGGCGAGGATACATCGAAAGTTGTTAAGGGTAAAGCTGTATAGGTTGTAAAGTTATCGATTTGGCGCTCTAGGGAGGGCAGGAATGAAAATGTTATTGGCAGTTAGTTATTTGCCACCGAAAATTATATTTATGTAAAAGGTTTCTGCTCCAATATTATGCCATCTAATTTGCCTCGTCGTTTCTCATAGTGGGTAAGACACGGTTGAGCGGGGTATATATCTTCAGATTATACTACCTGCGTCATAGTACCAGCAATGGTCACCTAGCTTCAAAGCGCTGTGAGGTATGTATGGTATAATGAATATATTCAGAGTGTGTTTACTAGAATATATTAGGACTTGGAATCCCACCCCAGACTTGAAAGAGAGCCAACAAGAAGGATTTCAAGAGCACTATCACAACCATGCAAAGCAAATAGATGGTCTTAATGTTCTTTTATTACGCGTACGGGGTGTATCTAATCCATTGCAAGAGGCAGAGCAGGAGCATACTCACCAGACTATGTTACAAACAAGGAGTTTGTGCGAAACTACCGCACAGCAAGATATCCGGAAAAGGGAAAACAAAACAAGTACTTTTTATGATATGCCCTCGAGAAGCCCACATGAAGCTCGATCCACTTCAAGATATCTATCCAAGAATATGGAAGACATGAGAAGATTCATCTCGACTTCGTAGTATGTCGCATGCCCACAGGTAGTATCCCAAACGCCCCCTATATCGGTATCAAAAAGCCAAAAGCCCGTTGTGTGTGTAACAGGCAGCCACAAGCCAACAGCCCACTGGTGAAGAATGCCTCAGCCCACAAGTTCGATCTCAATACCCACAGCTCCTATGAAGGAGAATAGTCAAGAGCCCACAACCCACAAAGCCAACGACCCACAAGTCAACGAGACACTTCCGTAGAAGCATCAGTGCGGCAGCCAACATGTTCGACTTAGAAAGTCTGCTTCTTGCCTTGGAAGTCTCCAAAGCCACCACGGTTTGTGCTTCCGCCACGGCCACCACGAGCACCTCCACGTCCTCCACGGTCACCGAAGCCACCACGGCTGCCTCCACGTCCACCGCCACGACCACCTCCGCGTCCTCCACGATCTTGGAAGCCACCGCGACCTCCTCGTCCACCTCCACGACCACCACCTCCAGCACCACGGTCTGGCTTGGGTGTAGCATAGTCGAGACGGACTGGGCGACCAGCGATCTCTTGTCCCTTCATGGCCTCGTAACCAGCCTTGGCACCGTCAATGGAGTCAAATGTGACGTATCCGAAGCCCTTAGGGTTACCAGAGTCCCTGATATTATTAGCATGAAGCATACAAAGCACGGAAGAGGATACTCACATGTCAGTAGGAAGTCTGACGTTTACGACAGTTCCGTGCTCGCCGAAAGCCTCACCAACAGCGTTCTCATCAGCATCGAATGACAAGTTACCGACAAACAGGGTGTCAGAAGGAGGGTTGGTTGAGTCGCCGAACTGCTTGGCACGACTGTCTGCTTTGTCTTTTGGACCATCGTTGGATCTTGGGGTAGAGAAGTCGACATTGGCCTTGCGACCGTCAATATCTTGGTCCTTCTTGGCAGCAAGGGCAGCAGCAGCCGAGGCAGAGCTGGAGAACTCGACGTATCCGAATCCCTTGGAGCGTCCACTCTCACGATCAGTGATGATGTTTGCACGGGTAATCTCTCCAAACTCCTCGAATTCACGGTACAGCCACTCGTCATCGACGTTCCAGCTTAGGTTGCCAATGAACAGGTTCTTGCTTCCATTGTCATCGACGGCCTCGGTCTTGGACTTCTTGGCAGATGCAACGGGCTCGTCCTCGGCCTTGCGCTTCTTGGAAGGAGCTTCAGTCTCAGCGGCAGAGTCATCAGAGTCGGATTCAGAGTCAGATCCAGATGCGTCAGAATCATCGTCAGAGCCGTCGGAGTCAGACTCAGCATCGGACTCCTAGTATATGGATTAGAGTCGAAAGAATTGATAAGGAATAGATGCAAAACTCACAGTAGCCTTGGCAACTACCTTGGCAGCGCCATTGACAGCACCCTTTGCAGTCTCGACAACCTTCTTGGCGACGGCAGCTGGTGCAGTCTCCTCATCAGAATCGGACTCGTCGGAAGAGTCTTCGCTGTCGGAAGCGGCAGCAGCAGACTTTTTGGGAACGGAGTCAGAATCAGATGCCTCGGAATCAGAATCCGAGCCCTCAGACTCGGATTCGTCAGAGGAATCAGAGGTATCTACCTCTTTCTTGGCAGCTTGGCCGTTGGTCTTGCCATTAGCCTTGCCGTTCAAGACGGGCTTTGCGACCTCAGCCTCGGACGCGGAAGAGTCGTCATCAGAGTCGGAATCGCTGGTGGCGGCGGGCTTCTTCTCATCTTCGCTGTCGCTCTCGGCCTCGGAGGAGGAAGGCGATGGGGCCTTCTTGACGGGCTTGCTGCTCTTCTTGCCATTGACCTTGGTGGCAGTGGCCTTCGCGATTTGCTTGGACTTGGCGGCTGGAGTCTGAGATGGTTTAGTGACAGACGCGTTTTTGACTGCTGAGAGTGGTTTGACCTCAGACTTGACCTTCTTGTCGGTCTTGGAACCCTTGACTTTGGACATGATGAAGAGTTTGTATTGGGTAGAGGAGTATGAGTATGGGTACGAGTATGATAGGAAGATGTATGTGTATGAAGGAGTTGAGATGTGAAAAGTGAAGAAGAGGTGGAGGTGGGATGTGGGAAGAAGAATTATTTTGTAGATGAAAAAAAGTTGAGTTAAGTGGGGAACTAAAAGCGGGAGGCGGTGAAAAGCTCTTATCGAGTCCGACTCGATCAAATATTCACCCTCGCTTATCAATAGCGGGGGCTAGAAGGAACTATACTACAAAGGGTTAGCGGTAAACGTGACTTGGATTTTCATGATCATATCCATTTGCTACCCAGAAAGAGCCGCATTCTAATCGCAGCTCTACGAAGAGTGCATTACTACCTGCCACCACCATTCAAATTGTCCTGCTCAACACCCTCGATATCACTCTGAATCCGGCCTATCACCTTACCATGGCACCCACTCCCGAGTCTGCTGCGTTTCTGGCCAAGAAACCCACGGTCCCTCCAACCTTTGACGGCGTCGATTACGATGATACGGCTCGATTGAAGCAAGCCCAGGATGCAATTATCCGGGAACAATGGGTCAGGAGTATGATGGCGAGATTGGTTCGGGAAGAGATGGGGAAGTGTTATTACCGCGAGGGAGTCAACCATTTGGAGAAGTGCGGAGCTTTGAGAGGTAAGAAACACCGGAGGTTCATACGTGCAGTTGGCGTTGGGGCTTTCAATTGATCGGAATGGGGACGATATATGCCACATTTTAAACCTTATAACTAACTCATTATGTCTTTCAGAACGGTATTTCGAGTTATTGAAGGAGTCCAAGATCCGGGGATATCTGTTTGAGCAAACAAACCACATCTCGAAGCCACAATAGGATCGGTTTGCAGCAGGGTATACCGGGGAGAGAGTATTAGAATTGGACTGGCAAACTCTAAGACGTGATGCATGGCTGGATGAAATGCTGTTGTATGAATAGAAACCAGCTTCAGTGCAGCGACATGAATCAAATGCAGCTGTCTGCACCCAACCCTCCTCGTGCACCTTTGTAATTTCAAGCTCTCACTCAATTGCTTATGACTGTTTCTAATCGTGATGATCAAACGTATCTACCAGCATTCGGAGCATTGAAATTTCATTTCAACCCGTTCCGAAGCTGCCATAGCTCAAGTACACTCACTCAGTCAACCACTCGAGAGCTTGATATTCGCGTCGCAACCGTGCTCTTCCGGCTCCCGTACAACCTCCAAAAAAGTTCATGTTCAAGTAACCAGCCCAGCCCAGCCCAACCCAGCTCAAACCTTTTCAGCACAAAACCACAAAAATGATCTGCCGCTCCTGTCTGCGCAAGAGCGCATCTTCTCTACGGCCCTCAATCTTTTCGCGCTCTCTCACATCCTCAATTCCCCGCCTGGATGCTACAACTGCCGCACCATCCTCCAGCCCTCCAGCAGCAACCTCGACCTCTGCAGCACAACCCTTTAGCACTCCTCTCTCACCAAAACCAAACGATGTTTCCCTGGGCACATCACTAAAACCGAAACCCAAGACCACTGTGTTGCCAGCATCGATATGTCTGCCGGGGTCGGTCATGAAAGGGCTGAACTATTTCAAGGGCAAGGAAGATCCGATTGCATTGGCAGAAGAGGAGTATCCAGATTGGTTGTGGCATGTTCTGGATGTAAAGGACAACGCTGGTATAGTGAACGAGGAGGATGGTGATGAGTTTTGTAAGTAGCCTCTTACCCAATCCTTTTGCCATGCTCTCAGAGACTCGAAGAGAAGAAATGGGATTGAAGGGCTAATGATGTACCCGCAGCCAAATCCAAGAAGCTCAGACGCAAAGCAGCGAAACGGCAGCGCAAACTCGAGGCCAAACTCCTCGCCTCGGGCGATATTTCTGCATTGACGCCCAAAGTACCCATTACAAGACAGAGTGTGGATCTGCCGACTGGAGAGGAGGGAATGGGGGAGAGATCAGAGTTGAAGCGAGCCATGAGGAAGGAGAGGAGGGCCAAGATCAAGGAGGCCAATTATTTGAAGGCCATGTAGGTTGGTGTGTATTAATATATAGAAAAGGGGTGGCATGTATATTGCAAGCTGGATTGTTATTGTACGCAGTCACAGGTGCAGGGGATTTTGTATGATTTGACGGGTATTAGTATTATACAAACAGGCTTGCAATGCAAAGCTAGGCTATCATAATTGATGCCTTTGTTGTACAAATATGAGATCTCTCAGATCATCTACTTCTGCTTCTCCGACTAGTCATCCTCATCCCCATTCCCCTCTCCAATAGAAGACTTCTTCAATTGTAATTCAGCCTTCAGCTTCCTAACGTTATCCTCTAATCGCTTCTTTAAGAGCATATTAGTCTGGGCCGCTAGCTGAGCCTGCACGTTCTCAATCTGCTTCTCCAGATCCACGATATCTTCCCTCATGCCTTGGATCTGCGCAAGCTTGGCCCTGGTTTCTTCATCAATACCTCCCTCCGAGTCGGCTTCGTCATCCGCATCTTCATCCTCCACTGACTCATCTCCACTATCTTCCTCGGCACGACCTGGAGTCCCCCCATTGAGAGTAGCACCTTCATTCGTAGACATTGGAGTCGCGGCTTCAAGATTCTCAGCTTGCATAGCTGCCTCCAGCTCGGCCTCCAGTTCTGCATCCATGTCCTCATCCGCTGCCCCATTAGCGTGATGATCTTGACCAAAGTAGCCAGGCATATCATCAACCTCGCCCTCGGCATCGTCGTCCTCGGAATATTGTCCCTGTCCATCCTCGTATCCATCAGGACTGCTCTCGGGACTAAAAGCACTCTCCCGCCTGCTCTCCTCTTCCACATCAAACATTTCCCACTTTGATGTAACGGCCGCCTTATCTTCCTCCATCAGCCTGTCCACCTCCGCCTCCACAGCTTCGATTGCCGTTCTACTAATACGTTTTCTGAATCTGCGTTTGCGGGCATAATGCATAGGCGGAGTCAGCCCATGAGGATACTGAAAGGTTTTCGGATCAATAATCTTAGGCAACGGAATAGTCTTCGCCTCATCCTCTTTTGCAATGGGCGCAAACACCCATAACATCTGGCAAATATCTGCACTCTTCCACCATCCCCTCTTATCCCAACTCTTCATGCCCTCCACAATACACGGTAAATCCACCAGCGCAGCAGCATAGAGATGCCCCCTGATATTGACTGATGCTCGCCGTCCATTAGCTTCGTAGAATTTCATTTGTACATCCGCGCCCCCTTGACTCAGCGGCAGACCAATCTTCTTATTCACTATCGCTTCGCGCAGGTACTCGCAGTCGTCACCGGGGAACATGCGTAGCACGAACTCTTCCTCGATCGTAGGGTCCAGTTCGCGGTCGCTGGCTTCTGAATCATAACCCTCTCCAGGAGGGTGCTTCGGCGGCTTGCCCTTCAACTTTGGCTTGATGTGAACAGGCGTCGGCGCAGCAGCAGGTGTTTTGGGACCGAAACTGAGCTTTACTCGCTTTGCTGCAGGGGCTTGGACTGCTATTGTGGAGCCTTCATTGTCGCTTTCCGAGTCGATATCTTTGGGGGCGCGCTTCTTGCTTTCGAGGAGCTTGGCGCTTGGTTTGGACGCTCGGCCTGCTTTGGTCTTTTTGGGCTTGGGGACATCTTCGATGATGGGGGCGGGAGTTGAAGGCGTTGATTTGGCGATCAACTTGAGTTTCGGGCCTCCTGGAGTAGAACTTCTGGGTGTTGGAGGTGGGCCAGCGCCTGGAGTTGCGGAGGGTGTGGCCAGGGATGGATCTCTGGGGATACCGGTGTTAAGCTTTAACTTGATGCCGCTCATCTTGACAATCTGTTGGCGGCGTTCCAAAGGTCGGAAGGGAATAATGGGACAAGACCCCGAGGAATGCAGTCGATTTCGAATCCTTTGGAGGTAGGATGGGTGGGTGTTGGCGTTGCGTTCTTGAAAGGAAGAGAGAGCTGGACCAGACGACATATAAATTCGATACGGCGGGCCAAGCAAACCCTTGACGCAATGCGCCTGAGCTGCTAACAAGCAAACCTTCCCTTCCCTCCCATCCTATTCACATTGCACTTGCAATCCTTGCAATCCCATACCAACAATTTCACAAACATACAACTACGAATCCTTCCACGACCTTGCGACGGCCATGAAGAGTTCCACGTCAAACGTTCCTTGACTTTGCCGTCAAACCTGCCAACCTACCAACTTGACACCCAACAGTCACAATGACAACTCCCCACGCTCTCCACCACTCCCTCCTACGTCCATGTATCCTCCACATCCTCCGCGCTGCAGGTTACCACTCGACACGCCCCTCTGTGCTTGACACGCTCACCGATCTGGCGGCAAGATACATGTTCCTGCTTGCGCAAGCAACCGCAAATCATGCAGCGCTGAATCATACAGAGCCCGAGCTTGCGCTGGAGATTTCAGTGCAGGATGTCAGGATGGCAATGCAAGATTGCGGCGCGCTGATACCGGAGAAGCCGATGGTAGAACAGGAGTTTGATGGTGAGGAAGATACACGGGGTATGGATGCCTTTCTGGCTTGGGCGCAAGGACCGGGAAATAAGGATATTATGAGAGTCGCGTTGGAGGGAGATTCTGAGAAACAGGATTACTTGGCAGGTTTGTGGCCATGGGATAGAAGGTGAAAAATATGCTAATCATACGCAGCTCTCAAGAAGAAGCACAATACGACGACGGAGGGAGATACGAGATATAATGGGACGATATTGGGAAAACCCGCGGAACCTCGAGCAGTCAAGGTGGAAGGGGGAGATATAAGCAGCGTCAAGGAATGGGCCGAAAGGTTGAAGAAACCTCGAAAAGACACCTCGATCCTCTCATCGCGGCGCCCGTCTTCAACTCTAAGCTCGTTGGGAGATGATATGGATGACATCGAGTTTTAGGTGCGGCTATGATCGTTTCTGCATCGCGACGGCGTCTGGGGAAGTTTAGTATATAAAATACATGGAGTCATGCGGATACCACCACAGAGGATACAGTTCTCAATGTCAAACCCAAAATCTCCCGATTGTTCTTTCATACTGAACCGATGCCCTCGCTCTCAACCCTATTCCCCGCTCCCCCATCAACACTCTCGCCCCCTTTCCTTGCAGCCTTGATATCCTCCCTTGCCCCCTTTTGCTCCGCCTTTTGTCTGTCCAGATCACTTGTTAAGCTGTTCTGTTCACCCCAGCCAGCATTCTTCTTGTTGAACTGCGCATCCATAACTTCTCCCTCTCCAGCAGCGCGCATCTGGTCCCCTTCAAGATCCTCATTCTGTGGTCCGATTTTGCTTCCTGGTAACGTGGCATTGCTGTCGTCTGCATTGTCTTTGGGGTGGTCGCCATGGCCTGCTGCAGTGGCCATGCCTACAGACATCGCTGGGGTAGCAGTGGATTCCGGGTTGGTGTCATTGGCGCCGAATGTTGTTCCTGCTCCTCGACCCGAGTTTAGGGAGGATTGGTCTTTGGAGGCCGACATTGTGTTGATTTTGGGTGAATTTTAATGTTGAGAGGGGGTAGAATCTGAGACTTGGTGATATGTAGAATTGTAAAGATTGAAGTGAACAAAATCTGGCAATTGGAACCTTTGTTCCACCCCCCGCTGTGACGTATTGATATGATATGTTTCTAGATTCACCCCCTCGTACCGCTAGATAGCTTCCTCGCTAATGTGAAGCTGAAGCTGAGCTGAGCCAAGCCAAGCGAGCCAAGAGAGCCTTGCTTGTTTTAACCACAGCCTTACGGCTATAACCACGTTCAACCTATTTCATGGTTTACGAGATACAGTCGGATTCTTATTTATGATACACTTCATGCCTTTCAAACTCATCAGTCTTCAAGCCCTCACACTACTCCAGCCGCGGTGATCAAGTGGGCCAGTCGCCATTCACAACCATGCCCTTCCCCTTCACTCTCCCCACTACATCAGCCTTCTCCGTTTCTTCCTTTTTCAATAGCGACTCTCATCCATCTCTTCCACTATCAGCGAGCACTTATCGTGGAGTTCTGCGAAATAATCTAAAAAAACATAAACGTCTACCACATCATGAGCAAGCATCAAATCTGGGGAATATACTTCAAAGTCTCAACAATTACATTCCATATCTACTCGCACTTGATACGGGGCTTGGAAGCCAGACTGTAGCTGGCGAAGAACTAGACGTTGTTCTCAAATCAACACCAATTCTAGAATGGAGGCCAACGCTGTCTGACAATGCTATTCCTGGGCGGGAAGTTACTAGGTTGAAGATCAAGTCTCTCGAATATGAGATCTATTTTGTCCTCTCAACACTAGCATATACCCACACCCTACTGTCCCGAGTTTCTCTCAATCCCCTCTTCTCCTCAGCAACCGCATCTCCCACCCCCGAACAGCGGACCCTCGCCATTACAACGGCAACAAAGCACCTCCTTTTAGCGTCCTCAATCCACGACTACCTCTCTACGCGCTCAGATCAAGTCGCAACAGATCCTCCTTGCACAGACATCACCAAATCCACGTTCCGGGCTCTCTCTTCATTAGCCATGGCTGAGGCTACTCTATTGGCAGTCCTGAAAGATGATCCCTATCCTGCCGCTGTAGCGCAAGATCGTAACAAGAATGACAAGGAGTGGATGATCAAAGCCCCTGAGATTCCAAAAGTACGAGCGCACCTCTTCGCACGTTTATGCCTGGCGGCTGCTGAACATGCTGCTAATGCACATTCGTTGTTGAGCTCGCATTCTGGGAAGGGGAAGATTGATTCTGATCTTTTGAAGTACGTCGATGATTTGAGGAGGACGGGGCGTGGCAAGGCATGTCGGTTCTTTGGCATTGATGCCGAGCTAGGCGGACAGACGGGCGCGGGACTAGCTTGGCTGCAAGCTGGTATGCATGAGCTGGGGTTGGCGTTGAAGGAGGACGGGAAGAAGGGGTTGAGTTTAGGTCGTTTCAAGAAAGAGTGGGCGGATAAGGAGGACAGGAGGGTGGAAAATGGGGCAGATTGGGGTGCTGATGCTGGGAAGTCGGAGGAGGGCAGGGTGTTGGAGATGTTGGAGAAGAAATGGAACAAGATGAACGATACGGTAAGTTTCTCTCTGCGTTTGAAATTGTCGCATCATATCTAATAACGACTTTAGATCAACACGCAATCCATACCCCCAATTGGACCCTTGATGTCTTCTATGCCATCAGGGCGCGAGATTCACAGCATGAAAGCTTTTATTCCTCCGGTTCTTGAGGCCTCTGTTCTAGAGAACATGAGAGCACCGCCTGATCGCGTGGATGATTATGGTGATGCAAGTTCGGATGAAGATTCTAAGAAGCAGGAACCTGTAGGAGCGTTCCCAGGTACGAAAGAAGATTATCCGAGTAGTTATAGTTATTACTAATAGTTCTACCATCTTTCAATCCGAAGCTCTGGGCTGATCTTAAGTGAAGTGTCGGGACTATAGGGAGTGGTTGCGGACCTTTCTAGTCATGTGACTTAGACGCTTCTATCAGGTGGGCATCCAGTCGCTTGTCTGGTCTATAGACTGTGATATTAGTTATTGTGTTAGCCGAAGCTGCCTGTACTTATCGCTTTCTTGAATACTATTAGATTCTTGTGAGCACGCAGAAGCTGGACCGGATTGTGATTCATAAAGCCCATCTTAGTGTTACGGCCAGTGACAAAGACAGATTCACCAATCATCGACAACATTCAACAAACCGAAGAGCAGGGCTTCTTCTCCTCCGGATAGTTCATTTGTATGAGTGGGCATGTTAGGGTTCGTGACATTCAAGTAGTTAGTCTAAGACAAATCTTGTGGGACCTAAGACTTGAGCTTTTAGAATGAGATCCTGCGACTTCCCAAATGCGAACTCTATCGAACAAAATACTTTAACATCGAAAGAGCTCAAAAACGGAAGGGGTAACTCCGTGCATAAATGATAACTTTCATGGCTGAATTTTATAATTCTCCACTCCAGTTAAGAAGCCCCAGGATAGAATCACCCCACGCCTCGGCCCATTGCGCCATGCACGATCAGACCAAGGATTCACACGAGCTTACGAGTCTCAAAGGTCTAATCAAAGTCAACTCTTCACAACTGCACAATTCGCTAGGTGCACAAAAGGGTACTCTCCTCCCCCCTCTTAATAAAGGTTAAATCACGTAAAATATCCATATAACGTAGAATCCCATAGAACTGAATAGCTAGATGCCCTAGCAAGTGGCCCACTATTCACGGCGCAGGGTACTTGTAAAGTCCTTGTAAGGTCCTACTAGGCCTAAGATGTAGTAATATCATTTGCTTAAATCCCCTGTTTATACGACGTGGCGAAGGATCATTAACCTTTATTAAGAGGGGGGAGAGTATTAAATGCTGCGGGCGTCTTCGGTCGTGCCTCCTGAGAGCACCAGTTCATGAAAAAAAGCGAGTACCATAGTAGTCTTATCCTTAATAGTTGTCCCTCGGAGGTCTAAGTCCTCGGTCGTTCCTAGAGCTTTCGACCTTAAGAAAACTAGTCGCCTATCAATATTGATAATTAGTGTCGGGACGGGTCATTGTTAACTGATCGCACCAACTAATACATACTGTGGAGGTGGCTTTTGGACCACGCGTGTTGACGGAACATCGGATTAGCTTAGTCATGCATGAGGATATCTCATCGCAGGAACCGTAGATCTTAGTAAAATCAAGTCTTCACCTTAAATCGAAATAACCCCTGCCTTAATACTTGCATTGTTGACACTCTCTACTACTTAGCGCGATGACGACTGCCGAAGGAGATCTCTAAAATCCTGCAATCCGCATATAATTGGCTTATAACCCGAGTATAAACCTCTAGAATAATAGGACTAAACTATATCTGTAAGCAAAACATTCTTTTGAATTGTTGATCGGTCTATTATATTGCTCTAGATTGAAAGTCTCCCTAACTCTTAAGTGTCTTGCGGTCGCATCCATAGCTAATCTGCACGCGTTATAGTCGCTTTATAGTAATATTAGAAAGCGTGCGTTCTATCTAAATTTGGCCTGTGCGGCAGTGTTAATTGTGGAGGCGGATGCAAACACTGTAGGAGCTAAGAGGTCACATTACTAGCATGTTTTTAACGTCTGATAGTAGAGACTGTTTAGCGTGGAAATGATAGATCCTGCGTATATCTCGTCAGATCTAAGCTCTCTAAGTGGCACAGAATATAAAGTTGTGGAGTACAAACACTTCTACTATTAGACTTCAAAGATAGGAATACATCAACTCCGGGCAATCCGAGATACTACGTACAACGAGGGATGCGCTCCATCTGCCGTGAGGTTCTTATCAAGACTTGTTAAATCCGCGCTATAGTTACTTCTTGTATTCCCCTTAGCCGCGGAAAAGACGCTTAGACTAGGAAACATTATTGGCGATCTATCTTCTCAGCCCCTTATTGCAACGTCGGAGTCATTTCAAGCCTCCACTCCTCTCCGTCTAAATATCTTGCTATACTTCTATCCGTTAGAAAGCTTCCGTCCCTCTCCTCTACTTTTCGTTCTTTGTTGGGTTTTCCTTGCCGGGGTTTTGTTGCAAGCCCATAGTTCCCATGCCGTGGAAGTGGGATCTGCATAATTGTAAAGAAGTGGAAGGTCCCGGGGGAGGTGATAAGAGGATTGAGAAGGTTATAAGACATTCGCCATAGTCAATATAGCTCGCAAACTTGGAAACAGCTCAACTTCGAGCTTTTCAAACCGCCTTTTTCAAAATTGCAAGCAGCCATGGGGTATGATTATACTATGCCAACAGGTATATCGACTCCAACCCTTCCTCTTCTCGACTTGCCATTATTTCAAAGCACGACTGCGAATCTCAGCGATGATGGTCTCACGGTTCGTGCCTACTCAAGAGCACGCCTCGTAGGCAGAGTATACGGTACTGCAATCCTGAGACCTGCTAGCATCGGACTAATCCATGGATAGGTTTGCAACTAGAAGATGTGCTCCATTTGAGCCCGAAATTCTGGCAATTGCACCTTGATCTGATCTGTCCATTCGACATGGCGGTTCTCACGTTAATCACCATACAATACAACCTCGCTGGAGGAACGATATCACGATTTGCAGTTGACCGGCCAGATCTGCAGCCACTGATGCAAAGCATTCTGAATTTTGATGTCTCGTAAGCCAGGATTTCAACGTGATTTTATAGTGGCAGTGTTAATTCAACCCCGTACACAGTGCCCAATTCCTTCTCTCCGAAATGGGACACGGCCTGGATGCTGCGAATCTCGAGACAACAGCCACACTGCTTCCAGGTGGCGGATTTGAGCTCCATTCGCCAACCCTTGCTGCATCGAAGTGAGTAGGACACTATAACTGTTTAGTAAACTAGGTTGACAGTCTTAGGTGGATGCCTCCAACCACTCCAAAAAAAGGGTTTCCTACAGTGGCCGTTGTAATTGCACGGCTGGTCGTGGCTGGAGAAGACCGCGGGGTCCGACCTTTTGTTGTGCAACTCAATGACGGCGTGACGATGTGTAAAGGTATCGTTGCAAGGTACGTGATAACCATATAATACCCTTCTTCCATGAACTTGACATCCCAAAAGGCCTCTTCCGCAGCGTGGCGGATCTACGCCGGTCGATCACTGCATCACATCCTTTGACCAAGTTCGACTTCCAAGCACGTCATTGCTTGGATCTCTGGAAAAACCCTCCAACATGCGCGATAATTTCATGTCCGTAATCTCACGTGTGTCCGTTGGCACCCTCTGCCTTAGCACCACGAACATCGGATCGTTGAAGCTGGCCGCTTTTATAGCAGGACAGTATAGCCTACGCCGGATGGTAACAGGGAAGGATGGAACTCCTGTTCCCATCATCAGTTTTCGTACCCAACAAAGACCCATCTTACATGTTCTGGCACAAACGGCCGTGTTTGATGCCTATGCTAGGAATACGATACAACAGTTTGTTAATCCTGCTCTCGAAAAGCGTGTCCGGGACGGCCTTGGGGCGGCCTTCAAAGTCAATCTTGTCCAGGCAACTAGGAAAGGCCTATACGAACTGACCGAACGCTGCGGGGCCCAGGGGGTTTTCGCATACAATCAAATGGTTCAGCTGCAACAGGATACACGGGGTGTTTCTATTGCAGAAGGGGATTCGTTGGTACTTTGTATACGTAAGAATGGATAAAACGATACGTGAAAGGTTCCGCCTACTAACTACTTGCAGGGCTTGCATCCGAACTCCTTATTGGAAGATATGAAATGCCTCCTTCATCTTATCCATCTTGTTTGCTTGCTCAGCATGAGAAGGGCCTTTTCAAAGAAGCCCAAGATATTATGCGGAGTTTCGGGATGAAAAACGGGAATCATCGAAGCGACGACTTTAATCGCCTGATCCTTCCGCTCTGCGAGCCACTAATTAAGGCAATTGCAAACCGGCTTTCCTACGAAGCTGCGGTCCAGGCAAACGTGGACCAGTCTCTCGTTGACATCTACGAGTCAATTGCTATCCAGGAAGATGCGAGCTGGTATGTCGAGAAAGCTGGTTTGTCGCGTCAGCAGATTATAGAGGGAGAAGACGCTGCGCTGAACTCCGCCCTGCCGAATATTAAAACTTTGCTTAATAATACTAGGGCGGAGCCGTATTGCTCTGCTCCTATAATACAAGCGGAGCGGTGGGATCGCTTTGTATTGGAGCTTCCGAAATATAGAAGTCTTAATTGTAAGATTTGAGTTCAAGCATTTTTTATGAGCTTTGAAGCAAAACTTACAGAGTATATGTTAGTATCACATGTGTCCGTTATCACTTCTCTACTACGTAGTATAGACTTGATGTTGAATATGCAAAGAGGTTATGAGTCTTTACTGACAAAGCTATGTTAAATCACATAAATACAAGCCCTTATCCCAATAGTATTTTTTAGTAATAAACCATTCTAGGATTGTTAGCGCTAGTGCTCGGGTTGGATTTCGCTATAAATAATATCTATGTTTTCTTTACAACTATAAGAGGCGAGCCCTAGGGGTAAAGCACGGGCTGTGCCTGTGCTTACTAAGCCTTAACCAGGGGGCGCTTACTTTTCTTCGGATCCAGATGAAGATTCTTCTCTCTCTTTTATTAAACTTATTAAATACTATATTAAGCCTTTTATTGCAATATGGCATCTTGGTAGGACTACCTCTTATGCGCGGGCGCTTTCTGACTCAGACACTAGAAATGCAGAGTCGCGATTGGCCCGGGCGCTGCTAACTTAGCAGGTTAGGGTTAGGGTTAGGGTTAGGGTTAGGGTTAGGGTTAGGGTTAGGGTTAGGGTTAGGGTTAGGGTTAGGGTT